CCAACATGAGGTTGAATCTCTCCTTGCTCAGTTTCCATCCATTGTTCCTTGTCTGGCCTTCAGATACTTTGGAAAACAGCTTGACCACCCTCCTCTCTGTGGCAGCCCCTCAAAATTTCAGCTTTCTCCTCTAGGATTTTCAATACCAAAGTCTGTAACATTCAGATCTGGAAACCCGTCAGTCCTAATTCTGCGAGAGCCAAGAGTGACATCCTCATGTTGGGCCTTTTCTGAATAAATCTCGTATTTATCTCACTTGAGGACTGCAGCTTCAGTTTCCTACAACTGAAATCTCCTTTGAACAGAGTCACTCCCAATTCTGTTTAATTAACCATAGGCTGCATCGTGTAAATCTTATTTTAATTGGGAGTTGCGTGTTTCTGGCCTTGAGGCAACTCTCTGTTTCGCCCTGTCCAGTACTGCAGCTCCATTTATGTAATTCAGAGGACAGTAGAGGATATAGTCAACTTGGAACAGCCTAAAGGGAAACATGCAAGCAGGGACATCCATGCTTGGTGAGAAGATAATCTGCCAGCGTTGATTTTCCCTAGGCAGACGGAACGACGGCAGGTGGAAGGAGATGGGATTCATCCTAAGTGAGATGGTTGCTCCCAGATTCTGTCTTCTAGGGTCTTTCTTCTTCTTCTCCTCAATGCCAAGGACTGCCAGTTTCCAGAACACAACAGTTCTGGAGTCTCTGGGTGAAACAAACTGGGAGACCAATTGGACAAATGAATCCAAAGATGCTGCAGGCTTCTTCGATTATCAGCATGTCCAGGTTCCCTTTGAGATTACGTTGTGGATCTTGTTGGCTTCCTTGGCCAAAATAGGTATGTTTCTGAAACGCAACGAGTGATTTCTAAACAGAGATTTTTGGGAGGCAGTCCAACTACAGGACAGGACAGTAACAACCAGGGCAAAAAAGTCATAAAATGGGACAAAACTCATTTAATGACTACCTTGCTCAGTAATGAAAATTTGGATTCAACTGTGGTCATATGCTGAGGACCCACCTGTATTTATTTTGGTATTATTCATTATGTATATTAATAAGCTTAGAAAATTATTTTTGAAGACTGAAGAAAAAATATTGGTGTAGCTTAAAGAGCTGATGTACAGTTTGCGAAATTTATCAGACTAAAATTTACAGTTGTTGTAACATTTGTGAGAAATTTTCACTGATGCTGCCTTCTTCTGGAGTATCACGTTGTGTGTTCCAGGAAAGATATTATCACGTAGAGAGCTTCTGCAGTCAATGTCCGCAAAAAGCACCATATTTAACAAACGTTTATGCACATATATAGGAAAGTATATAACTCTATATCTTTGTAACAATTCTTTGAGTTGTATTGCATTATTTGGGTACAACGGTTTGCACAGATATATTATACCGTTTTTACAACTGCTGAAAATTCAGGAACTTTGTCTTACATCAAGATTCTACAGGTGAATGTAAAATAAATATTATTGTTCTCCATTTGTTGGTTATGTATTACATTTTTTAAAAAACTTAGTAATGTTTGTGACAGTGGATTTTCAAAATAAAGCCTTAGTAAGACCACCCCTAGAGTATTGAGGTTGAGGTTTATTGGATTTATATACCGTCCTTCTCCCAAGGACTCAGGGCGGTGTACAACATAAAAGAAAACACATGTTACAAAAATTAAAAGGGACATTAAATAAAGTATCCCAACCCTCCCCCCAATTGATATTTACAATAAAATTTTAAAAATTAAATTAAAATTAACAACTAAATTAATCCTGTATTTTATTCTAATCAGGCCAGATGCTAATCAGATGCAAAGCTTGTCAATCAGAAGGCCGGCTTGCTGGAAAAGCCAACTTCTTAGAGTGCGTCGGAAGGCCCAGAGGTCGGGGATTATAAGAAGCTCTGGGGGCAGCTCATTCCAGAGGGAAGGCGCTCCCACAGAGAACACTCTCTCCCAGGGCTCGCTTGCCGACACTGTCTGGCCGACGGCACCCTGAGGAGGCCAACTCTGTGGGATCGCACTGGACAGTGGGAGGCTACTGGTTTTGGTCACCCCACTATAAAAAGATGTTGAGACTCTAGAAAGAGGACAGAGAAAAACCACCAGGATGATTAGGGGACTGGAGACAAAAACATACACTGAACGGTTGCAGGAACTGGGCATGGCTAGTCTATGAAGAGAAGGACTAAGGGAGACATGATAGCAGCCTTCCAGTATTTGAGGGGCTGCCACAGAGAGGAGGGGTCAACCTTTTTCCAAGGCACCCAAAGGCCAGACAAGGAACAATGGATGGAAACTGAACAAGGAGAGATTCAATCTGGAAATAAGGATAACTTTTCTGACAATGAGAGCAGTCAACCAATGGAACGGCTTGCAGGAGTTTCATCACTGGAAGCTTTCAAGAAGAGACTGGACTGCCATCTGTCAGAAATGGTGTAGGGTCTGCTTGGGCGAGGGGTTGGACTGGATGACCTACAAGATACTTTCCAACTCTGTTAATGTGTTAATTTTTTTTTGGCTAGAAACAAAAACATTTGTTACGTTAAAAATATTTTCTAGAAATCCTGTGATTTGCGTAAGATTAGGGAAATGTACAGAATTGCACAGAATTATGCAACCTTGATTTCTAAGCTTCCAAATTGTTTCTCACTTAGCTAATTTCAAAATTTTAAGACTGACCTAGTGAATTTGGCTTTTCTTAGAAAAGAGCCCCAAATGCTTTTGAATGACCACTGTGTTTTAAAACCAGCTTTCTCCAACCGGGTCCTCTGAATGAATTCACACATAACTCAAGAAAAAAAAATAATCAAATTTAGGATTCCCTAGCCTTGGCTCAATGGCTAAGATGCTGACCTTGTCAATCGGAAGGTCGGCAGTTTGGTGGTTCAAATCCCTAGCACCGCGTAATGGAGTGAGCTCCTGTTACTTGTCCCAGCTTCTGCCAAACTAGCAGTTCGAAACCAGGTAAAAATGCAAGTAGAAAAATAGGGACCATCCTTGGTGGGAAGATAACAGCGCCTTTGGCATTTAGTCATGCCGGCCACATGACCATGGAGACATCTTTGGACAGCGCTGGCTCTTCGGCTTTGAAACAGAGATGAGCACCACCCCCTAGTGTCGGGAACAACTAGCACATATGTGTGAGGGGAATCTTCACCTTCATTTATTTATTTATTTATTTATTTATTTTATTTATTTATTTATTTATTTGTCTTGTATGCCGCCCACTCCCGAAGGACTCCGGGCGGCTTACAATAGACAAGGGAAAGGGGGATAAATAGACAAAGACTTTAAAAAGAATGCAACATTCATAGTTTCCGTGGGGCCTGCTGGAGCAGCCAGGACTTGGTGGCTTTGAGGAAGGCCGGGAGAGTAGTAAGGGTCCAGATCTCCATGGGGAGGTCATTCCAGAGCCTTCCACTCACACTACAGTTGGAATGCAGCTGGTTCAAGTATCCGTCAAACAATGAAACTAAATTATGTTGGGGGTCTTGGGTTTTTCTCAATAATGTCCTCTTATCTTTGTCAGGTTTCCATTTGTTTGAAAAGCTACCATCCGTTGTCCCTGAAAGCTGCCTACTGATCGTGGTTGGCCTTATCATGGGAGGCATAATCTTTGGCTTGAATGACAAGTCGCCTCCCGTTATGGACAGTGATATCTTCTTCTTCTATCTCCTGCCCCCCATTGTCCTGGATGCAGGCTATTTCATGCCAAGCCGCCCTTTTTTTGGGAACATTGGAACCATCCTCTTGTATGCTGTGGTAGGCACAATCTGGAACGTCTTTGGCATCGGATTTTCTCTTTACCTGATATGTCAAGCAGATGCCTTCCAGCTGGGGGATATCTCCTTGCTTCATAACCTCTTATTCAGTAGCTTGATTGCTGCTGTTGATCCAGTAGCTGTTCTTTCAGTCTTTGAGGAAATCCATGTCAATCAAAAGCTTCACATTTTGGTATTTGGGGAATCTCTGCTCAACGATGCTGTGAGTGTTGTAAGTATTGAACTATTAGGGTTCAAGTGCATGTCAAAGTATTTATCTCAAAGGCTTCATCATAAGATGATCTTTTCCTTAAATCAGCTTTTTGCATGCTGGCTGGAGGAAGTCTTGGTGTTGAAGTCCAGGTGTCTTGAAGGTTGTTGCGTCCTGCCAGCGGCAAGCGGAGCTGGCAGCAGATTCGGACAGTGAGGAGGTTGGGGAGGAAGATGGGCCAGTCCTGGAGTCTGGGGAAGGCTCTGATGAGGGCTCAGTGTTGGAGGCAGAGAGAGGGCCAGAGCAGAGGTGGGTTGCTACAGGTTCACACCGGTTTGGGCAAACCGGTAGTGGACATTGGGACTGGGTTGCCGAACTGGTAAGGATGGCTGGCTGGCCACGCCCCCGAACCGGTTCCCAGGTCACCCATGCCATTACTAGCATGTTTTTTACTCGTTTTATAATGTTATGCACATGCACTGAAAAATTAATAAGCAACTGTGAAACCCACCCCTGGGCCAGACGTATATGCCAGTTATCAGCTACCTTCCAAGTCAGACATCAGTGAGGCAGACGAACAGCTGGAGCCTGTTCCCAGTGTGCATATGCGCAGAGTTGCCAGATGAAGGGAACAGCTAAAGAACAGGGGTCGACTTGGGAGTAAGGTCACAGGTGGACGATGAATGGCCCCTCTCAGAGGAAATCAAAGANGGCAAGCCACTCCCACAAAGGAGGCCACACCCACAGAGTAGGTTCGAACAATTTTTGAAACCCACCACTGATGTGCCAACTGTGGTACCCATGCCATAGGTTAGCAATCACGGGTCTAGACCTCCAGTGATGAAGCATCCACAACATCTGTAGACAAGCTGTCCTACTGTCCTCACTGTTAGGAACTTTCTTCTTAATTCCAGGTTGCTTCTCTCTTTGATTAATTTCCATCCATTGTTTCTTGTCCCACCCTCCGGCGCTTTGGAGAACAATTTGACCCCCTTTTCTTTGTGGCAGCCCTTCAAATACTGGAATACTGCTATCAGGCCACCCCCTCATTCTTCTTCTCTTTAGATTAGCCAGACCCAAAATCTGCAGCCATTCTTCATATGGTTTAGTCTCCAGGCCTTTGATCGTCTTAGTTGCTCTTCTCTGAACTTTTTCCAAAGCCTCAACATCTTCTTTGTAGTACGATGACCAAAATTGGTTGCAGTATTCCAGGTGTGGCCTTACTAGGGTTTTGTAAAGTGGCACTCATACTTCCCCTGATCTCCCCGGCCATATGAGAAAATAATTGTTTAGATAAATAACCCCCTTGGAAAATGGACGGTCATGTCACACGCAGCTACAAATTCACTCCGCAGTGCCTTGGAAATGGATGTCAGGGTGAGTTTGCTGACCCCCGCCGCAGCTCGCTTTCTAAAACGCCTTCTCAGGAACCAGCCAGATGGAAGCCAAGTGCTGATTTCCATACATAATCATATTTATGTTAAACAGACCGATTGAGCACACGCGTGTTGGTAAACAAGGCTGACAAACAGCAATCTGGTTAAGATTACATCGAGCGGTATAGCGTGTTTGCATTTTGTGGAGGGTGCGTAAAACGTCGGGCGATAACGAGGCAGCTTTGCTTAGGATGTCACAAGGTCTGTGGGATCAAGGGAAGTGGTGACCAGTTGGGCTGACTGGGGGAGATGGGAGCTTGGAATTTAAGGGACTGAACATGTCCATAGTTCAGTTATGGCACCAGTGAGTAAATGAAGAGAAAACCTCTTTAAGGGAAAGAGAATAGCATTTGGGTTATTCTTTATAATAGCCTTCTCTTTCTTATTTTCCCCAAATCCAGTATGCATCCCTAGTTTTGGGGTATAATCCCCACCCTCCCCCCTTTTTTCAACACCCCTGCTTTTCTGTATTTATTTATTTGAACTATATCAAGTAGAAGATATGATGAAGTGCACTAAAAATATTTATTTTTATTTTATCCCACTTTATTATTTTTAAAAATAACTGTAAATGTACTGAATACTCTTTCTTCATCCTGTTTTCTACACAACAACAACAACCCTATGAGGTGGGTTGAGTGGAGAGAAAGTGACTGGCAAAATGGCAGACAATCAGTTTCATGCCTAAGGCAGGACTAGAATTCACCACCCCCTGGTGACTGGCTCAAATCATGCCTAAGGCGCAGTGGTGGGTTTCAAAAATTGTTCGAACCTACTCTGTGGGTGTGGCCTCCTTTGTGGGAGTGGCTTGCCGCCCA